TGTGAGGTGGCGCCAAGTTCGCTTCCCTACTTGCTCACAGAGCACTCCACTAGCCCTCTCCCTCTCCCTCCACCTATAGCCACAAGCATTCCTGTAGGTCAGGGACCTGCAACAGGAAACTATTCCTTTGCTTTGTTTTGATACTGAAGAACATTGGGCTATACCTGTGATCCCAGCACTCTGGGAGGCCGAGGTGGGTGGATTGCTTGAGCTCGAGCTCATGAGTTTGAGACCAGCCTGAGCAAAAAGCGAGACCCAATCTCTACTAAAAATGAAAAACCGAGGCAAAAGGATTGCTTGAGCCCAAGAGTGGGAGATTGCTGTGAGCTATGATGCCACAGCACTTTACCCAGGGTGACAGAGAGAGACTCTGTCTCAAATAAATAAGGGAAGGAAGAATATTGGGAGAAAGGGGCTGTTTGCTGTCATAGTTTTCGTTTCTGGAAGAAGGAAAAGCAAGAATGAGGTTGAGTCTCGAATTTCTGAAATAAAAGGGGTGACTTCTGAGCTATCTCAAACCAGTACGACAGACTAGGGAGATTAACCCCAACTTGTCTAAGGCAGGAAGCAGAGAGCAGGAACTAAGAGTCCAGACCGTGATACAGATGAGGAGTTCCAGGGCTGCTTGTCTTCAGTGAGTTGCTGTCCTCACAGTAAGTCTCTGAAACCCACTGCCATCTTTCCTGCAGCTGACCAGTCTCTGCACTTCTGCTAGTTTATGAGGAGTTGGGAATCTATACTCTCCAGTTGCTCCTCAACCTGAATGCAGTTTTCCTCACACTTGTTAACTCTCCAAGACCCTATTTTAAAACTGGTCCTGCTAATTTTTGCATTCTCCCCACCCTTGCTTTCCACCCCAGGATTCGGGAGAGGTGTGTGTGACACTCTGGCTCTTGCCCTGGCTTCTTGCGAAGAGAGGAGACAGGCTCCACTAATTGACCCCGAGGGTCTCAGCTGTGCTAAGCTGGGTGTTTGTTAGATCTCGTTAGGCCTGTAATTAGTGTGGGGAATCTAGGTCAGAGGCACCAGGCTGCAGCGATGGTCTCCGGGGAAGCGCGGGAAGCGCGATAAAGGTGGGGGACAGGAAATGGGCTCCTTACGATGTGTTTGGGGTGAGCCTTGGAAAGGGAACAGTGGGGCTCATGTGGCACACGCAGACAATAGACACAGGACCACACGTGCAGAAAGGCCTTCAAACTCTTTTCTCTGTGTGTGTGTGTGTGTGTGTGAGCGTTTGCTCCTGCATTTGCTCGAGTTTCTTTCCAACCTCTCCATATATGGTGTGGCTCTAGAGCGGGCTGGGGATTGGCTGCTGGTGTTGGGAGATGGGGAGGTGAGAAGAAAGCAGAAAAAGAAAGGAACACAGCTTAGGGAAGGGAGTGAGGAGGGGGAGGGAGCCCAGCCCTGAGGGTTGCAGAATGGGGCTGGGCCTGCCTGCCAGTGAGGTTTACAAAAGGGAGAGATCCTTTGGGACTGGTTTTTGGGGAGAATGAGGGAAAGGTACTATTGGCAGAGGAGATGGGGGAGCAAGAGGAAAGGAGGCAAGAGCTACTTCCTAGGGTCAGAGCAGGCCTGATGTGTGAGGGTAGAGCGGGCCTTAGAGAAGCTTGTGGTTTCTCTCTCCTTTGCACCCTGGACAGCCTGTGCTGTGGAGCAGCACACACTGTAACCCTCGCTTGCCAGGACAGCAACGCAGACACAATCTTCCCAGTAGGGGAAGGTCAGGGCTGTACAACACCATTAGCCCCAGCCGCTTAGCTGACAACCTGATGGACAAAAACATTAAAGACAGAGGGAAATGTCACTGCAGTAAGATTCAGCATCTAGTTCTTTACCTGCTCTACCCCTCACCCCATTCGGCTCTGTGTCCTGATTTCCTCATCTTCCCATCCCAGGGCCTCCCAAAGGAGTTTCTTTTTTCCAGTTTATTGGGGGTAAGAAAGAATATAGCAAACTTGCTGGGAAAGAGGGAGGAAGAATACACACATCCTGAAGATGTCTGTGGGCAGCTGTTTGATGGGCAAGTTGCCCCACATGCCCACCTAGCTCAGTCCTCCCGCTTATCAGACCCCAGTGGCTGGGGGGAGGGAATACTGCAGGTGAAGGGACAGAAATGAAGGTGGGAAGGAAGGGAGGTGTGGCGGGGAGGGAAATTAGTCCCTGCATCTATACTCCTGCCATGGTGCCAGGGCTCTAACACATGTGCTGAGTGAACAGAAATCATGCTCATAGCCACCACAAGGGGACACTTCCAGCTGTTTTTCTAGTGGAAAGCCTGGTTTTGTGCTAAGCTCTGGGATTCTTGAAGACCGCGCAGCACCTGGAGTACTTGCTTCTCTGACTTCACATCAGACTCTGCTCCTGACTCTCTGCTTGACTCAAACTAGTAACAGAAGCTGCAGGGCAGCAAATGTCAACTGGCCAGCAGGCATTTTCCACACATTGTGTGCCTTGCAAGAGCCTCAAAACCAAAAAGACAAGAGTTACAGTTTGAATCCAGATCTTTCTGGCCCCACTGCCTTGTGGCCTGCATGTTCCAGGAGTCCCAGAGCTTAGTCCCAGAGCACTGGGAGCTGTTGGTTTGCTGCCTCCACAGCCCAGGAGCCCAGAGCTCAGCTCTTCAGTCTCCCAAGGTCCCCGAGCTTTCCTTCCCATGTCCTTCACCTGTCATTCTCTTCTCTAGTGTCTCCCTCTATTTTCTGGTTCCCCTAGGAGCCACACATAATTGGCATGTTGGGATAGATATGAAGTTCTTGCTTTTCTTTTTTCTTATGATGTGGGAGTGACAAGAAAGAAAAAAAGACAAAAGGGAAAATGCTGGTAAAATAAAATACAAAGATCCTTTTTTTTTAGACAGAATCACTCTGTTGCCCTGGGTAGAGTGCTGTGGCATCATCATAGCTCACAGCAACCTCATAAAAGGTAAGAGAGTTCTAAAAAGAAAAGCAAGCATAATCTTAAGCCAGACTTTCGGTCTCTGTGACTCTGCTGATCACAAGGACAGGAAGCTTGGGACTTACGGCCTCTCACCTCATGCCCTGGGAATGACAGGAAGATGATACACTTCATGAACTTTTTCTCACTCAGTGGATTACTTGTTCCTCAGGGAGGAGACTAGTTTAAATAACTACTAGGTCTAGGCTAGATCTGGGGGATATCATGTCAAAGTGAGCAATGTTTAAACTTGGAGACTCCCCATTTTCTTTCTGTGGGCTGCAGGAGTGACAGAGTAGAATGGGAACTGAAGGGTCTGCGTCACTCCCACAAGATTTTTGTCTCTGATCCTACCCAGTCTAACATTAGAGCAGCCTCACAGCCAGATTTATATGGAATTTGTTCCCATTTCCTCTCCCTTCACTCCTAGTGAAGCTCTAGATCAGTGGTTTTCAACCTTTCTAATACTGTGATGTATTTTCACTGTTACAAAGGGGCCGCAACCCACAGGTTGAGAACCGCTGCTCTAGATGTTGGCTCTTAAGAGGTAGATTTAGGGGCCAGAATTGGTAGTTCAGCCTATAATCCCAGCACTCTGGGAGTCTGAGGTGGGTGGATTGCCTGAGCTCAAAGGTTCGAGACCAGCCTAAGCCAGATAAAGACCTTGCCACTAAAAATAGCCCGGCCCTGTGGCAGGTGCCTGTAGTCCCAGCTTCTCAGGAGGCTGAGGCAAGAGAATCACTTAAGCCCAAGTGTTAGAGGTTGCTATTGAGCTATGATGCCATGGCACTCTACCAAGAGTGACAAAGTGAAGCTGTCGCCAAAAAAAAAAAAAAAAGAGGCAGGTTTAGGGAAGAGGATCAGCAAGATAACAAGGGGTACACTGCAAAGTGTTCTTTTACCCCCTCATTTACTTGATTCATGAGGGTCTCTGTACCCTTCTTTCCAAAATACATTCACATCTTGCCTTCAGAACTTTTCTGGCTTGATCGCTGTTACTGAACTGTACCTTAGGGACATTGGGAGCAGCACACACGTCAGACACCGGACCCCCCAGGCAGGAGTGCAAGGCAGGCTGGCAGCTCCTAGGGTGCTTAGGGAGAGTGGGCATGAGCATAAAGATGTTTTTCTGAAGTTTAGGCTTGAGTAGAATTGGAAGATAGATTTGAGGAAGCTCTTGAGAGAGGCTACAGGAAACCCTAGCCTGGCCAAAAGAGGAACCTGGACTTGTGCTTGGTTTTCCCCTTCATCCTACCCAGCTTGCATTATATATCAGTTTCATTTTTAGTTCGGCTCTTCTGCAGGGTCAGCTGTCTCTAGTTCCCCTGAGCTAGGTCTCCTCAGTCAAATAACCAAACCAGGCCCAACCATCTAAGGTTATACTACATATCTTTGAATCAAAGTCGGGAAGGGTGTCGAACATGAAGGGCAAAAAACCTCAGAAAATTCAGGTAGCTCGATCTCAATCAGAGACTGCTATGAGATTTAAATTCTACATATCCTCCTCAGGGTTGGGATAAACTTTGCTTCTCATATATGCATGAAAGGGCACAACTGACCTCTACATCCCCAGAATTGGAGTTAGGCAGCTACAATTTCACCCTTAGATAAATCTGGACTTGGTGCAGTGGCTCATACCTACAGTTGTGGCACTCTGGGAGGCTGAGGTAGGAGGAGTGATTGAACCCAGGAGTATCGAGACCCACCTGAGCAACACAGAGAGACCTTATCTCTACAGAAAAAACTGAAAACCTGGAATAAGACATACGAGAAAGCCTCCCTTCTAATCCTGCTCCCTCTTAAGGTGGGTGGTGTGTGTGTAAAATGGTCAGAGTACATCTTTATTACCCTTTCTCTGTCTCTGTCCAGGTGGGAGCTTCTTAATACAGCTATGGGGTCATCTCAAACCTGAGGTGGGCAGGCTGGAAAGAAGGCCAGTTGGGGTGTCAGGTAGCAGCAAGAGAATGGGTTTGTTTCTTTTTTTTTTTTTT